AATTTCTAGCCCTATGCGGTCAGTGATCTGTTTTTGGTATTACCCTCTCTGTTGACAGTCAGTGAGGCAGATTCATTGAGTGTCATATTCCTACTAATAATTAACACTGTAGCCTTCTAATCTGCGCACTACAACTTGTGACTTTTCACTCTAGTTGCATACCCTAGAAATATGGACGCCCTTGGCTAAGTTTGCCATCCTTTACATGAGCATAAGTAGGACAATCAAATATCCTCAAATTTGAATAATCAGCTGGCCAATTGGATCATATCTCAGAAAGGGTTTTGAATTGAATAGCTATGGATGGAAATCTGTTGATCGAATGACAAACTTTATTGATTGCTTCAGCCAAAAAGTTCTTGCTAACATATGAGTGTGAAATCATGCTTTGTGCCTTGTCACTAAATTTTATGTACATAAGTTCTGCAACAACATTTTTTAGTTCTGTTCCATCAAAATTGGTGTCTCACTATGCCCTCTCTGCTGCATCAATCATTGATGAGTTGCAAATTTAAACCCATTATCTGTCCGAAGACACTTGACTTTTCTTTCAGTCTTCATCCAGTATTGTCAAAAGCAAAAAGAACAAAAAAATCTTTATGTTTATTGTTGCTTTAAGTGCGAAATGCAAATAAAGTGTGGAATTTAAAGAAATAAGACATAAAGGGAGAACAAAAATACAAACTTGTATATTAATATTCGTCAATCAAAGTCATAATATTTGGCAATACTCTTTGAGGGAACTATGTCTGGAGCTCCCAAGTCTCAATGTATATAATCTAAATTTGTTTTTGGTCTTGTGCTCTGCCTTCTTTTTCAACTTCACTATTGTTTGCTACCAAAACACATAATGCTCACAAAAATCCAACAAAATTCTGCTTGCTCAACAAAGACAATTGTTTGTCACTTGTATGACCAAATCGCTAGTGTCACAATTGAGACTGATTCTGATCACTCTTTTCAGAAGGTACAATTTATCAACAACTCTAGCTTGAAGATAATATAATATAGGATGCAATTTACCCTTCGTAAGTACCATGGGCCCTTTACACTTAAAGTGGCTCATTACTTGAGTGAAACTTATACCCTCGATCACCGAAGTCGAAAGAGAACAAAATTTTCTTCATTGGAGGAACACACCAAACTCATTATTTTAATAATTTCATTAATGCACAATGACCTACACCTTTATGAGAAGATTTATTATGAAAAATTCATTATCCTCGTTCTTGTATAGGTCCCAGAACCCTAGTTATTGGAGATTATTTATTCATAACTTTATGCAAAGAATAGGAGAATTGTCTAACTAAATAACACTAAGATAAAGAGAAACACTATGAACCTTGAATTAAAACTCAGTTCTTGCAATTTTAGAGTACATCATTAGTGATCTTAAAATAATTCCATTCACAATTTTAGGAAGAATGATGAAAGAATTGCAAGATTCTACAAGACAATGCTAGTAATAACTCGCCAAAAATAGTTGATGTTAATCCCTAATGATATCATGATAATTAAAACCCTAGAAAAGATCTATTTATAGACCCAGTGAGAAATACATGATAAAAATATTATTGAATTGTGTATCTATATTATTACACGAAGACTATTTATAGAAACTATAATCTAATCATTACCAAGTAGGATACTGTTTACTATTCCGATTCCTATTACTACTCCTATTCCTATTTATATTCCTATTCTATGTAGGATTGTGTATACCTATTCCTATTGTAACACTCCCCATCAAGCTAGTGCATACAAGTCATATGTACCTAGCTTGTTACAAATGGAATTAATACGAGGACCCATGAGGGGCTTGGTGCAATATCTTCAACTTGACCTCACATAATTGATAGCCAATCTCAATGGCTTAGTATTCTCATGAAATGTTGGATTTGATGCATAATGCTAGTTAATTTCAATGTACCTGGTCTTCTCATGAAATGTTGAATTTGATACATAATGTCGATGAAACACAGAGTGATAAAATTATAATGTTGCACTTTCCAAATCAAGCTTAAGAAGATTGTTTTAGACCATAGAGTGACTACAAATCAACATACGGCTATCGGATTCCTCATAAGCAATTAAATTAGGCGCTTGCTCCATATAGACTTCTTCCCAAAATCATCATAGATAGAAAAAGAAGGACCTGCTATTTTAGCCACGGGAGAGAAAATATATCTGTAATTCAAGTATTCAACCCAAATATCTGAGTATGCCACTTTAAGATTTGATCTCGAAGTAGTCCAAATATGGGAAATAAAATTTATATGAGTTGGTTCGGAATAATGGCACATTCCTACTGAGAAAGAAAATAATATAGGTAGGGTTGGATTGATGACACAAGCCTACTAAAAAAGAATTATATTGGTAGGGTCAGAATGATGGCCCGACCTACTAGGAAAGAGAATTATATGGGTAGGTTCGGATTGGCTGCACGTAACTATTGAAAAAGAGAAATTATATGTGAAGAATTGGAATGATGACACGACCCTACACTAATCAGATTTGAAGAGTTAACATAAAGACGTAGGGAACTATGCAAATCAAATCTGAGGAGTCACCAAAGATACAGATAGTGTTATGAAACTCAGATATAAGATAGTAGTTTGAAAAAAAGTACTACACAAGTTAAATATGAGAAGTAGTCCATAGAGATGCATGTTGGTACACAAATTTGATATGGGAAAGTAGTCACTAGTAACATGGCATAATGCTACACAAATTTGTTATGAGAAAGTAGTTATCTGAAGAATGACATGGTGCTACACAAAATAGATATTATAAAGTAGTTGCTGGAATGATGGAACGGTACTATATAAATTAGATATGAGAAAATAGACATCGGAAAGATGACACGGTAACACTGACGGATATGGGTTGACACAAAACAATCTTAGAAAGCCAAAAGTTAATGTATGGTGACTTGTCTGATTGTGTTCTCTTCCCCTAAATATGAGGTTCATTCATATGTCCTTAGCGTTAATTTTATTAACATAATCAGTGGCCAGACGGGCGACATATATGGGTCATAGCCGCTCACTCGTAGCGGAAGCTCTTTGATTCTCTACCTAGATCGGAGAAGCTTTGATGCCATGTGAGAAATATAGGAGAAATGTATTATTGGAATGTGTATCTACCTTATTATTTATTACAAAGACCCTATTTATAGACACGACAATACAATTCTTTACCAAGTAGGATACTATTTACTATTTTTATTCCAATTACTATTCCTATTCTATAGACCCAAAGTTTGAAACTAATATATTTCAAAAATACCACTACGTCACCCTAATGCCTAGGCGTGGCTCTGCGATGTGACCTCCAATGCACCCTCTGGGGTTTGCGACACACCAGCTATCGTGCGGGCTGCCTAGATTTTCATCCTTATGTATGGTCACAGTCCTGGTGCAAGGCTTATCTCATAGTGCGCACGCCACTCCACGAACCTTTCGTTTTCACTGCCAAATCATGCCATTTTGTCCATATTGCTCCGTTTTTGCTTCTTTTGCTATTTTTGGTCCATTCTTACTGCATTTTGACCTAAAACATGTCTAATAACTCATAGCCTACCCACAACAGTTATACTCAAATACCTTGAATATATTGTAATTGACTCTTAAAACATAACTAAAATATGACACTTCGGTATATGACTACGCCCAAGATCAGTCACCCTTTTCCCTACACTCGTAACAGCTTGGCTTCGTTGCTCTAAATTTCAATCAGGAATTAAACTTTATACTACTGAATTCTTTTTTTCATGTTCTTCCCATACTCTTTAAGTCCTTGCCCTCAATTCTTCTCTCCGGAAAGCTCTTCATCAACTCTTTAATATTTAGTGCATTATTGAAATTATCTAGTGAAATATTTGTTTTTCCCATATAGCAAAGTATCAAAATACAATGCTAAAGACCATAACACGATTTAGGCATGATACTCGCTCCCAATTTTTATATTTACGTGTTTTTAGGTCCATTAAAATTGAATTAAACTCATCAAGGTGATTTATAATTGGTGTACCTCTGTTCATGTGGAGATTGTAGGACTTCTTTTTCAGGTAGATTCGGTTTGTCACTGATTCCTTTGAATATGGATCTTCCAACTACTTGCATGTTGCTGTTGCAAGAGTTTCTTCAGCAATTTCCCCCTAAACACTATTGGTAATGCTCAAAGCCTTCAACTCCTTTATGTCTTTCTTCTCTAACTCTTTCACCTCTTTAGGATAAAAATCTCCTCAATTGCCTTCCATAATCCTTATAACATCAGAGACAATCTTATTCCGATCTTTTACAGACTGAAACTAGATCCCCCATAGTATGTATGTCTCTACTTCAAATTTTGTTGAAGAAGATGAAGACATCTTAACCATTGATTATGTATTTTTGTAGTAGGTAAATAAGTTACAAACAGCATTGTTGATTGTTGGTATGCAGATTGTGAGATAAGGAGAGGAAAATTGATGCCTCCTGCTGCTGCTGGTTCAGAAAAAAGGATTAAGAAAATCAAAGCTGCTTCAGAAAAAGTTGGTGCCTGGATCAAAGAGGATGAAATCATAATCTTAAAGGGACTCATAAAGTTGAAAACTGAAAAAGGGAAAATTAGTTTAGATTATGTTCAACTTTATGATTCCATTAAACAATCTCTTGCTCACAAATCAGCCACACCACTTCATTTGCAAAAAAAAAAAGTATCTTAGGGAGAAATACAAGAACAATTTAAAGAAGAGCATGACTCTGCCCACATGAGGAAGAGTTGTTCTACTGAAGTGACAAAATTTGGGGCAAGGACGATCAGCAAATCATGAACTAACAACTTACTATTTCTTCTTCCAGTTTGTATCATCAACAATTTACAATTTCTTTTCCGGAAGAATCTGATACATAGGGCTAGTGTTAACAACTCTGAGCAGGAATCAGACTAATCCACTGCAAGTAGCTCTCCAACAATTCGAGTTAGTTTCTCAAAGTTTGAGTACTAAGAAGAGTTATGCCAACCAAATACTCCAGGCGCCGATGACCCCAAAAAGGTAGTATATATATAATCCTTTTCATTTTTCTTTTCTACTAATGTGATTGTTTTCTAGTTTGTTTTCAAAATTAATTGCTGCCAACCAATTATATAACTTGTGGCAACACATTTTGCGCATCTCAAGGCATTTATACAGATTTTAACGCTTCTCATGTTATTAAATTCCTTGAACTTCACTGTCTATGCAATTTTATGATTCATATTTTGCTATGCTCAACTTATTTGTCTTACCAATAACTTTTATACGAGGAGGGAGTTTCTGAACTAGAGGAACAAAAGATAGCAAGGAGCTATTTCTGAAAATTTTTATTGTTTTTCAAAGATGTTCTAAATGTGTTATTTAATCATTTAAATTATTATTTTTCTTTTAATTTTCTGACGAAAAGTGTTCAAGCTACGCCGTTAACTATAAAATAGACCATTCAAGAAAGTTCTTTAGCTATTAGAAAAGTGTAGTGGTGAAATAGCTGCGAGTAGGTCTATAGTCTTCTCCGTGTCCCCTGTAGGCAGTGGTGAATCTAGTGTGTATATATATATATATCTTCTGCCCACAGGGAATGAGAACGAGTACACTTCTATAGAACTATTTTGTCTTTTGCATTGAATAAGATTACTGCTTTACGAGAATTTTCTATTTTGCTTCTTATTTTCTTTCTTTTTCTTTATTTGTTATTGAATCTTTATTCCATATGAGTTCCTTTTTTTTTTTACCAATTCTTTCTTCTGTTTTTAAGTCCATAGAGTCTATTGAGTTTTTGCTTTGAGCATCTAAATATTTCACTATCTTTGTGATATATATTCTGCCCACAGAGAATGAGAACGAGTACAGTCTGCTACACTTCTATAGAACTATTTTTTCTTTTGCATTGAATAAGATTACAGCTTTACGAGAATTTTCTATTTTGCTTCTTATTTTCTTTCTTTTTCTTTATTTGTTGTTGAATCTTTATTCCGTATGAGTTCCTTTTTTTTTTTTTTACCAATTCTTTCTTCTGTTTTTAAGTCCATAGAGTCTATTGAGTTTTTGCTTTGAGCATCTAAATATTTCACTATCTTTGTGATATATACAAATAATTGCTGAAATGCTCTTTTTAAAAACTTTGTAATGATTCCAGCAATTAAACATTTCTCTCCTCTCGTTATTTCTACACGGAATATGTTTATTTTAATAATTTTTAGAAATCATAGTATAAATTATTATTTTTAAAAAAATTAATTTAAATATTTTTTTCAAAATTTATGGTCTTTGTATGGTCAACTTTAACCAAAAATAACTTTTCAAAATATTTGTTAAAGAAATTGTGATGTGACTTGTGCAATGTAGTCAATCTAGACTATTAGGGTCTCTTCATATTCTTCTATTAAAAAAAGAAGTGACATAATCTCAAATTTTTCTATTTATATTGTATAGAAACTATTTTGTGCTTAATACAAAATATCTATCAAAATGCAAAACTAAGTTTTTAGAGATTGTAGGCTATACTTTTGATTGTAGAAATAAATGGAAACATCAACACTACCAGACCAGAAATTCACTATCAACTTGGATAAGTTTCCAAGATTTAATTTGGAAAAAGCCGTGTGCAACCACGGCTTTTTCATGATGGCTCCTAACCAGTGGGATCCATCTACTAAAATATTTTCCCGTCCTCTACGATTAGATAATTCCATCAGATCGACTCTCACTTTCATTTCACAGCCTCCGGGAGAGGATCATCTTGTCATTACAGTTTATGGTGCAATAATTCTTTCCTCTAAGGATGAGGGAGCCATTCAGGTATCCGATGATTTATTTTTTATGTACTAGTTTTTATATACGTGCGTGTTTCATTTGAATTTTTATAGATAACGTAAACTATTTGAACATATATCAATTTAAAAGTATCTCAATTCTTAAAATTAGCTTATCAATTAAGAAATTGAAATCTAAATAAAAAATGATATAATATTAAAAGAAAAGTAAATATAAATTGTAAACAAATAAGACATCGAGCATAATCATGCATGAATAATCATTAACTAACGTTACAAAATCTCAATAGGAAGAATGGGTTACTCCATCAATAACCATCAATTTTTTGTACGTCTCTAAAATTCATATTGATAAAAGAAGTAAAATAATGTATATTATGATAGGAAGTAAGATGATATAATATGAATTAGAAAAAAATGATATCTTGCACGATGAAAATAATAGAAGAAATTTAACTCGTCAATTCAGAAATTAAAATTTAAATAAAAAAATAACATTAGAATAGAAACAAACACAAGAATAAAACAATATGACAATTTGGCAAAATACAATTATACAAATACAAGATTCTAAATAAATTCAAGAATTCATAAAACATCACACCAGTTGAAAAAAATTAGTCATCTAAAGTGATAGTAATGAAAGTAGGATACAAAATATCATTATTAAAATCTTAAATAATATTATTATTTTTAAACAAAACAAAAAAAAATAAAATTATACTTGAAAATTGTCAAAATGGTCTTATCAAAAGGAAGCAATTGGTGGGCAAAAGATATTCCTCCATGAGTTAGAGATTTAATTGGAATTATTAGGGGTGTAAAATCAAATTAATACAAATGCAAAAAGAAAAAGCAATTCAACACTAAGAATGACAATAATATTGAAAATTTATTTTTTAGTTTTACATCGATTTAGACAATTAAAATACATGATTTAATTTTACTTTCTTTTAATATTTCTTCATGGAACTACTACTTACTAACTTATTTTATCATGATCTAGTACTTTAAATTATGATCAATTTCATTATGACTTATTAATTTAAAATATTTGTTTTATGGGATTTTATTATTATTTTTTTGTTGGATATTTTAGTGTCATTAATCATATCATATTTTTTGTTATTTTCTTGAGAAATAACTTATAGATAGTTGCATTTTGGTAGGATTAAAGAAATATTTGAAATACAAGTAAATTATATGTTTGTATGAATACTTTATTGAAAAAATTCGAAGTTGAAAAATCTGAGTTTTATTGGTTTGGTTGTTTATAAATTCAAAAATTTGACACAAATGGTTTGGTTTGATATTTGAAAAATCCGAATCAACCTGGTCACGTACACCCTAAGAATTATAAAAGGAGACAATAATTGTACCTCTACAATTGATTTTGAGACTGAAAAGATGATTAATGTTATAACTAGTGGTGGCAAATGAGCGGGTTAGGTCAAATATTGGCGGGTTGAAAATGGATAAGCATAAAATGGACAATCAACCTGTCCATATTTGATATGGATAAAAATTGATTGGGTAATAAATGAGTTGCGTAATATAATAGTTTACCCATATTTTTATGAATAAATAATACTTTAATTAAAAATTCAATATGAAGAAAATATTTTCGTCTTTTCTTAGATGAAATATGTTGAAAATATTGCATTTAGTTTTGTTGTATTATTAAAAAAAATTAAAAATAACTTCAAGGTTTTGGGTAGGGGGGGGGGGCTGATTGAGGGGGGGGGGATGGTATGGATGATAAAAATAAATTTTTGAAGTTGAATATATTTTTTCAAAACCAAACTTAAATTTTTTTTTTTGGGGGGGGGGGGAGGGGGGTTGAGGGGGCTGGTACAGGGGAGGGGGGAAAGCGGGGAGGGAGGGGTCGAGGGGAGGCGTGAAAAAATGAAATTTTGAAGTTCAAAATATTTTTTAAAAATAAACTTTAAATATATATTGGGGTTGGGGAGGTTCGGGGGAGGGGTTTAAATATTAATAGGGACCCATATATGAAAGCTTTGAAAAATCGCTTCTAAAATTTGGCAACAGGCAATTTTTTAAAAATTAAAAAAAAACTTGCAATATTCATATATGACTTGTACCCGTAAAATACTCATATTTTAATGGGTAAAATATGGGTATGAGTCCAAATATTATCCATATTTAAAGTCACCATATTTCATGGGCTATTTGGGTGGGTCAGTTAAAAGTGGACTTAAACTGTCAGCACTAGTCCTAACTCATAAATGAGTATAATTAATAATTAAAAGAGAAGATTAAAAGACCGTGACCCAGTAGTTTGGGCTTGTAAATGTTGGATGTCTCAAGTTTGAAACCTCTTGCCAACGAAAGTATGGGGCTTGACTTCTAGATTGAACTCGTCGCACCGGGCTTGCCTAGTGCGGGTTACCTCTCTTATTGATTTGCGTGTTATTGCATACGAGCGTGGGTTTTACCCTGTGCGCACCTGAAGGGCAGCAACTACGGATTTTCCTTGTTATCAAAAAAGAGAAGATGAAAAGTTGAAGAATTTGTATATGAAGATTTAATACAATAATCATGATCTTAGACACGGGAGAGGGAGGGTTGATTTTTTATCTAATATAATTTAATTTTAATCACAGTAATTATAGATAGAGAATAAAACATTAATCAAATTATTTAGATATTTTAATTAGGAATTGACCTAAGAAAATGTAAAATTTTAATTAAAATGATACAATTTAATATTTAAATTAAATAATTAAATGTTTTATAACATTTTAATTTATAGTAGGGGTATAACTATAATTCAACTTTAACTTTTTTTTTTCCACTTATAATAATATATGATGTATAGTCTCAGGTGAAGAGAATGTTGAGACTCTCAGATAAGGATGAACAAGATGTCACAGATTTTCATAAGCTTCATCCACATGCTGAGGCCAAAGGATTTGGTCGGTTGTTTCGATCACCAACTTTATTTGAAGATGTGGCCAAGTCTCTTCTTCTTCGATTTTGTCCGTAAGTTAATCATATATTATACCAGCAATTTGTAAAACTCAAACTTTGAAGTAAACTAAGAAATATAGATTAAATTAATCAGGTGGAAGACATCTTTGGATCTTGCAAAGGCTCTTTGTGATATACAATTGAAAAAAGTCAGAATGTCAAAAAGAAATAAAGAAAATATTGGAGACTTCCCGAGTCCGAGAGAATTAGCAAGTTTTAGAGAGAAGGAGCTAAAAGACAAAGGTTTTGGATATAGAGCAAGGGACTTGATTAAGTTGGCTAAACAAGTTGTTGATGAAAAAATTAATTTAGATGGTGTTGATGAAGGGTTCTACTCCAACTTGAAAATAAATGGTGCTGGTCCTTTTACCATTAATACTATCATGATGTGTATTGGACACTATCATCATATTCCAATTGATACTGAAACGTTGCGTCATATGAAAGAGGTAACAAACTTGTTGTTCTACATATCATAAAAAATAACTAACATTATACATTAATTATTTGCTAGTGGAGGTAATAGTATTTCTTAAGTCCTCTTGTATATATTAATATTTACTTGTCATGATTTTAGTTTCATGGATTTAATATGGGAAAGCGTAAAAATGGATCAATTAGTGTGGAAACCAAAGCGAAGATACAAGAATCTTACAAGATTTATCATCCATTTGAGTCTTTGGCTTTTTGGTAAGTTACGTTGACGATACCTCGATTATTTTTATTGATTAGTATGTAATCATACACCTGATTTGTTGGTCTTTAGGTTTGAACTTGTCAACACTTATGAAACAAAACTTGGCAAGACATTAGGTGAGTTATTACCATCAGAATATCATCATGCCACCGGAAGCAAGAAATATTAAGGGTACGTAACACTATTAATGTGTGTCCACTCTTTTTTTAGCAATTCCAAATTGATTTAGCAGTAATTAGCCTAGATATTAATCATTTCGAAGGAAAAATGAGGTAAAAATATTTTATAGGTTTTCAATTATAAAAGAGGGACAACTGAATCCTATTATTTTTTCTCTACTTTTTTATCTTTAATATTAGTAAAAAGAACTCAACTAATAACATTTTCGTTGTTGTTTGGACAACTAGAAAAATTGTTTGGATTATTATTGAAGTTGTTAAATGACTAAAGAAGTCATTGTTGAATTACATTGTAAAAGTTAAATATTTGAAACTATTGAGAAAATAATTTTAACCTAATTAATATTATCTCACTTCGACCCAAATTTTAAAATTTAAATGACTCCTACCTAATTGTAACTAGTTTGTCCCTTTTAATAGTGTGGTTCTATATGTTTATTGGTCTTCATTAACTTTTTCTATGACTTTGAACAGATGTGATGTGATGTGTGATGGATATGATATTGGATTGAAAGAAAGAAAAAACTTTCCCTTCTTTTCTCTTCTTTATTTTGGTTTAATCCATGACCAATGGATATTAACTAATATTAGATTTTGAAACTGATGATCATTTATATATAGATCTGATAATTAACTTCCGTTTTGTTTTTGTGCGGACTTCACTATATCACATGATTTCAACTTGAATCCATGTTTCTGTCTGTTTAAAAGTCTTGCAACAAATTATTTTTTAGTGATCAATAGAAAAAAGATAAAGGGTCGGGGGGGGGGGGTATGGTTAGGCGCCCCATACGTAGATCTAGCTAACTTGACTTGAGTCACAAGATAAAAGTATACTTACTTTGTTTTCGTTATAATTCAAAATAATATGTACCATATAATTTTTAAAAGAAAATTTTGCAAAATCGAACAAAATCGCAAAGCAAGTCAAATTGAGAAAAAGAAAAGGACTACCATGATTTGCTTTGATGTTGAAAAAAATCCGACTATATTTGGGTTGGTTTGATTTTCACTAAAAAAAATTAACCCGAGACCAAATAAACTCAATATGATACATATAATTTAAAATTTATTTTGTACATAAAATTTTTTACTTAAATATAATTTGTAAATATTTTTCGTACTTTCCATAATTTTCATCTAATATATTTCAAGTTTGAAACTTTGAATTTTGAATGGTTTCATATAGATTATTGTCCACGAATGTTGGTAATTATAATAAAACTTAAAGCAAAATCAAATTAATACCAATGTAACAAGAAAATCTATTTGACGCTAAGGATGACAATAATATTAAATATTTGTTCTTAATTATTATATGGTTTCGACAATTAAAATACGTAATCTAATTTTAATTTTCTTTAATATTCATGTAACTAATATTCTTATTTTAGCATAATTTTAGATTTTTAAATTATGACAATTTTCATTATGACTTGTTAATTTGCAATATTTATTTTATGAGATTTCATTATTATTATTATATTATTATATTAAAAGTGTTATTAATCATATCACTGTTTGCGTTATATTCTTGAGAAACACCTTAGTTTTATTTTGGTAGGATTGAAGAAATATTTGAAGTACAAGTAAATTATATGTTTGTATAAATACTTTAGCCAAAAAACTTGAAAATTCAAAAAACCCAAAAAAATTCGTGGTTGAAAAATTCAAAATTTATTGATTTGGTTTGCTTATAGATTTAAAAATTCACACAAATTATTTGGTTTGATATTTGAAAAATTCAACCCGACCATATACTCCTCTATTTGCAGCTAAAAGTATCTCCTTTAAAAAGATTTTAAAGGGACATTTGAGTCTTTAATATGCTAATGCAAGCATAAAAATCATTTACATTATTAATGTAATTTGTAATGCACAAATAAAATGCAAATATTAGTTATACATGATATTTTGAAATGTTTGTTGACGCTCAATTTTGGACTTTCACCACATAAATTAATCAATTCGAGCTTCTTCGATTTCAGATAATTTAAAATAACTAGTTTTATAAATTTTAAGAAAAAAATATAAAGTTTGCACGCTATTTTGAATAATTTTGTCATTTAAAAAATAATAATTTTTAGATAATACATATATTTTACATAATTATGTATTATAATTAATATATTTTATGATTCATCTAAAGATTTTAGTTTTAGTAAAATATTTAGATGACTAGTGTGGTTTAAATAATAATTTATATTTTTAGGCTAATTAGGTTATAATTATTTTTTTGTTAAGATTAAGAAGCTCATTAATTAATTAATTTATATTAATTCCTTTTATTTAGTTATTAGTGAAATCATTTAGAGAAGCCAGCTTTGGGCCTTTTGTTCACTAATCCCTGCAGCCCATTCCATCAATTTCAAACCATATCCAATTCCCAGCCACTTCTCAAATTCCCTACCCGACCCAAATCCTTGTCTTCTACACAAATAGAGAATCCAATTTTCCAGCAGCAAAATAATACGTACAGACCCATTCTCCAAAACAACCAAGCGATTTCCAATTCTTCCCTCAGATCGCGACCCTTACACGTTTCTTCCTCTTCTCCAGACGCGAACCAGAGCGTTATTCCAGCCGCGTAGCGCATTGTCTTCTCCCTCTCTGCTTATCCATTTGTACGGAATCCAGGTGTCGAGATCTCCCATTTCCTTTGTCCTCTCTTCAGAAATCGAATGGCTGCAATTTTCAGTCCGTTGGACAGTTGTACAATTTTTCGAGCTGGCATCGGGAACTCAAATTTCGAGTTTTGAATTCACCCCTTTGCTTTACCCGATTTCCCCCTTTTTTGCGCTTTAGTTTCATCTATAAATAACATCTTCTTCTTTATTTTTAAGTGAGGTAGAGAATACTCAAATCGGTTTCTTTAGAACCCGAAGAGAGTTGGAAAAATAGAAGAAAAACGGGGACGTTAGATAAGTGAGGTACAGAATACTCAAATCAGTTTCTTTTTAGAACCCGACACTCTTGTTTCTTGGAGTCACACTTTGGTGGGGGGAACTCTTTCCCGTCTCAGTTCAGCTGCCCAGAAAAAGGTGAAACTTCCCCCTCTCTTACATCTTTATTTCAAATCTCTGTGTTATGTATTGAAACTGTTTATAAGGAGTTTTGTTGGTTTCATCCTTGTTCTTTATTTCAATCTTATTGCTTTGGGCATATAGTTTACTTACTGCTTATATTTTCATGTTAGATCATTTCTATTCGCTATTGGTTTTAGCTATATGAATGAATTCGGATTTGTGACTCGTCTGAATTTTGAGAGTAATTGATTTGACTAAACACAGTCGTGCAGTAGCATCCTTATTTTAATAGCTCAGTTTTGTCTTCTTTTTTTTTCTTAAATGCCTTTGTGGTCTTGCTGACTAATGTGACTTGCATAAATCAAGTTTTATCTTAATGTTATTCGAGTCTCAGTCGGAATGCTCATATTTGCAACTCGGAATGCTCATATTTACAACTTGGGTCGATATATAGTCCGAGTTTCTTGTTTTATTTTCCAAATCTTAATTTGTTTTTTTTTTTGGAGTTTAGTGTTTATTTGAAGTATGATATCTTTTGTGTTGACTTCTCATTGTATGGCTTGCTGAATATTAAGCCCCCGTTCCTCATGGCTTTGATGTGTTGTATTCATGGCTTTCGTTTGAAACCGATAATGTCCGTTTACGTTTAATTGTTATTCACTTAACTTATGTGCAAATAGTCTTGGTCACTGTGTGTTTAAATGTATTAACTCTTGCCTTAATATTCTTTCAAAGTGGTTCATGCATGCTGGAACCTTTACTCATAGAAAGTTTAAAAGAATTGGATTTGTCTGCAAAAATAAATAAATATAATTTTTAGTCCACATTGTGATTCTTGGAATTGTGTTCAAAGCATTTGTATGTATGTTATACTTGGGAGTTTTGTTTCCTCTTCTTCTATTCCCTTACTGCTTATCATCAACTTCTCTTTGAATTGTTTTAAAAGTGTTGTTTTATCAATGATGCCTGATAGATGTTAGCATTTTTTGTCACTTCATTTCCTTCAATAGATGGTAATCTCTTATTATGTTTCGCCTGTGAAACTCCATCTGAGCCCCCCCCTCTTTGCATATCATCGAGTTGATTTTCTTCTGGTCAAGCCTTAATTGTTGTTAGAAAGGAAAGGGATTGTGATACACTGATGTATACATTGATATACATCCAATGTATACAGCCACTACATGAACGAAATGGGCTAAAAGAAACATGTGTACAGCAGTCCAAAAGAGGACTAAAAGGACAAATTTCAGAATAAAAAATGGGCTGAACCGAGGCTCAGCATTGCAGCCCCTTACCTAGACTTTAGGATTGGTTTGGGCCAGAAGCCCATCAGATTGGAATTTGGGCAAAAGGCCTAAATTATATATGTTCCTACTTATTTGTTGATTGACTAACATCTTATATGTGAATCTCAATTTGATTTAATAATTATCTCTCAAAGATAATCATTTCTCGTTTTAAATTTAAAATCAATATTTATATTTAATACTCAAACTTTATTTTCATTATTACTCTTGACAACATTTGAATTATTTTCCTTTAAGGAATTCCCCCAATTTTCCCCCCTTAATATAATATAATAAATAAAATTGAATAAATAATTAAAAGAATTGAATTTCTCTTATTTAATTGAAAATTTAGCAACGAAAAAGGTTATTTGCAAAAGTTACTCTAGTCAAATCGCCGATAAATCACAAGTTACTGTACATTTCGAGGGCTTGATATCTTCTCGTAATGTACATTGAACTTTGAACTTTTTTTTCAATTGATTTTACTAGTTTCATTAAATCTTTGAAATAATTATAAGTTTTTTCTTGATTTTTTATTATGGAGGAGGGCCTAAAATATCCTCGAAGTATTGAAAAAGGTACACAATTACCCTCCATTCATCTATTGGCTCCCAAATACCCTTCACATCCACCTTTGAATCCAAATTTACCCCTTTATTAATAGATCAAAATTAAAAGTAATTAAATAATAATTTTTAATTACGTGGCACTCAACCATTGGTTGTAATTTAATTATTTAAAATAATTTTAAACCCACCCATTTTTACTAAATTCGCGCCACTTAATCCAATTTTAAAAAATAAATTATCTAATTAAAATATCCTAAAACCTTATTCCTTCCATTTTCACAATTTCCATGACTCCATTGTCTTCTTCTTCCTCATGAAGAAAATGTCAGCCTCATTCAGAAGAGCATCATTTCTCTCCTCATCATCATTTTGGTGCTTCCTTCTTCCTGATTCAGACTTTTCTTTGGTTCTGTCAGCATAATTATCTATCCGTCCATGATTTCTTGAATGCCTTTTCTCAGCCTCATTCAGAAGAGAATCATTTGACATTTCCATATCTTGTAACGACCTGTTTAGTCGTTTTGAGCAGCAGATTTTATTTCTGGAAAAACAGGCTGAGGCGACGGACCCCATGACGGACCGTTGCAGGGTCTCGTTTCAAAACACTTAGAAAAACTGAAAATTGGGTACTGAAATCGACTCTCTGAACTTCGTAACGGAATGGCAGGACGGACCGTCACAGGTGTGACGGATCGTCACAGATTCTTCAGAGAAATTGAGTCTCTGAACTCTGTGACGGGCAGCAGGACGGACCGTCACAGGCGCGACGGGCCGTCACAGGCGCGACGGGCCGTCACAGACTGCGAAATCCCAGTCTGGGCCGGATTTCTTGATACGTTTTAAGGGACGTTTTTGACTATTCTTGCCTTAATTATAAAGTTAGTGGGTTAATGTTAATAAGTCTAATTACTTGGGGGTTAAAAGAGGTAACCTTAAGTTAATTAGTGGGGCATAATTGCTATCTTTTATTCTTAATTATATGTTAATTAGGGTAAAAGGAAGAGGGTTTTGAATAAAGAAAATAGAAAGAACAAGAGAAAGAGAGAGAGAGTCGAACGAGAAAGAGGAGAAACGAAGAGAAACAAAGCTTGGAGAAAAATTTACTTGTTTGATCACTAATCTTCGGTGGAGGTAGGTTATGGTTTTCATGCTTTCATAGTAAACTCTTAATAGAGAATGATATGTATTGGTAGTATTGTAAACCCTGCTATGTGCTTAATTGTATGCATGCATGAACGTGATTATATAATTGTGATTATATTAAGCATGATGAAGTTATTGAATTTCAAATATTGATAGAAACCTAATCTCTTTTTAATGATGATGCCTTGGTAAGGGAGGAGGCTTGATGAACTAAAGTAATGAGATTGATGATGCCTTGGTAAGAAAGAAAGCTTGATGAATTGATGGAAGGAGATTAGGGGATCGGGTGTCACGAACCGACACGTAGAATTAGGGGATCGGGTGTCACGAACCGACACGTAGAATTAGGGGATCGGGTGTCACGAACCGACACGTAGAATTAGGGGATCGGGTGTCACGAATCGACACGTAGAATTAGGGGATCGGGTGTCACGAATCGACACGTAGTATTAGGGGATCGGATGTCACGAATCAACACGTAGTATTAGGGGATCGGGTGTCACGAACCGACACGTAGATTTAGGGGATCGGGTGTCACGAACCGACACATAGATTTAGGGGATCGGGTGTCACGAACCGACACATAGATTTAGGGAATCGGGTGTCACGAATCGACACATAGATTTAGGGGATCGGAGTGTCACGTACCGACACAAGAGGACTGCTGAATATT